GAATTATGATTTTAATAAATACAATTTTGGAAATTCAGTAAAATCTCTGAACAGTATAAATCATTTCAGAACTGCGGGGCCTTAACTATAATTTTAAAATCGTGGGGCCCGGGGCAGTTGCCCCGACTGCCCCCCCCCCCTCGCGCCGTCCCTGCGGCTACCTATATTCATCCATCATCATCTTGCTCAGAACTGAAACTTGAAAGTATCGAAATATTTAATGAAAATAATCTGACCATAACGAAATGTGTGAATTTGTGCTAACAAACTGTCCTTATATATATTGATCGCTTATTATTTTTTTGTTCACTGAAATTATTAGAATTGTTAATCGTCGCCGACGAATGTCGACAATAATTGACGATAGCCATAGATATTATTATAAAATATATTATTTACTAAGATAAATCCATAGAACTTATATACTATACTCAGTACCTAATTGGTCTTTGTTAAATCGTACGTACTTTTACAGAAATTTTTGTGATCAGCAATGTACTTATTCTGGTTTTCTATTTCATTCATAGTTCGCATGCCAAATTTAACTATCCGAAACTGGTCCGCAAATTTATAGACATTCTATTAAATTACAATGTGAATTATTATAAGTCTCCTTTGTGGTACTTGCCAAAAACTCGACTACCGGGATTTAAATTTAAAAAAATGTGATTTAGGTAACCTATTGGCTATTGATCTATTATAAAATAGAAACTGAGCCTACCAATAATATCACTTTATAAAATAATTAAATGTGATAATTTGAAGACAATTTCTTAAAACCTCTAAAATATTTTTTTTAATTTAGTGTTATAAATTTATAATCTAGTTAAGCACTCAAGCAAATTTTTCAATTTTTTTTTTTTCGGTAACATTATATTATACATAGACTTCAGGGCCCCGCATACATTAAATGTGTCCGGGGTCTCAAGAATCCTAATTGCGGCACTGGTAGGTACCATCTATTAACTATTAAGTAGATATTACATGTATTTTTACTGTTATTAATTATTATTATATTTTGTATTATTCGAAAGTAGAAAGTTATTAGTTATGAAAAATCAATTTTCTTTTATAAATAATATGTTTATTATTATTTATATTTGTTTCTTAATAATTAATAAAAGAACTCTTTTATATAGTGAAAATTGATCATCATATTACTTGACCAAGGAGAAACAAAGTACATTTATACGTATCTATATATATAATCGCACTCTATTGAGTGTTTAAATGTCACGATTTTTATATAACATAATACTGTTTCATCTGGTATCCACTGTATGTACCTATCTTGTTTGATCGACGTGTGATATGTGTCGCCGGTGTAACGACTCAAGCAATAATAATAGTAAATATCATTTTTACTATGTACAATCTTCTAAAACCTAACCTCGTTTGGAACTGTCAAACCGACGACGACGTTTGTGTGTCCACAACTCCGCCGCTACACAATAAAACACAAAGTAATATAATATCAGTACTTAATAGTTTAGGTACCTAAGTACCTATATATTTATTCGACCAGTGCATGAAGAATAGACCTAACCACCAAAACATTCGGGACCCGGTTTATTAGAAAATTCATCGTAACTTTGTCAAACGCTGAAAATGTATTTTTTTATTCTGTAAAATCAAACACGGTGGTATCTTGTATAAAATATAGTTAAGTACCTACCTATTATTTTATATCGTTCAAATTTCCTTATGCTTATGGTCACATATTTTTCAGTGTTTAACCAAAGCGTAAGTACATCAATAATATTCACATACCTAAATGGCTAAATTATAAACGTCCAAGATGATTATTATTTCAATAGATCAATATATTATATAATTTAGTACGGACCTATTGACTATTACCTATCTAGTACATAGTAACTACATACCAACGTAAGGACTTGTTGCTTGATGGTGTTAAATATTTTCGGAAGTGGCCCGCCTTAAATTTGGCACACTTAAAATAAATCGTAATATTTGGTATACTTGTTTAACCATTTAATTCAGTGACATGTTTAACTCTTTGAGGGGCCGTGGTTAGTATGCTAACCACTTTTTTTTTTACCGTTCAGGTGCGGTGGTTACCATTTTAACCACTTTTAAAATTATTTTTAATATTTTTTTGATGATGGTCAGCATACCAATCACCTTATTATCATCTTATACATGCATCAAACAATATCACTGCCGCTGGTCTGATATAATTTCTCGCGTTTTTCATCATTTATTATCATTATCGATATTTTGATATACGTACTAAATGTTATGGTAAAGAGACATATTGCCCACATGGGTCTTTTTTCTAAAGGAAATTTTCGCCCCTCAAAGAGTTAACAATATGTTAATATTCATTAATTCACAATTGTTAAAATGAGAGTCAATCAAAAAGACAAAAATTACTATCAATCTTAGAAAAAAAATGTTTTACATAATACACATTCCTAGTAAATATATTCAGAAACAAAATAAATCATATTTAAATTATATTATAGGTCATATAATAGATTAATAATTAATTAAAATATAAAAATGTTATATTTAATAATGCCTATATTATGTATATGTAATGCAGTAATGAAAACATTTCTTTTTATTAATAAATAAACACAGATAGACAAAAGTTATACTATAAAAAGTTATACAGTAAAACCTCTCTATAACGGACCCTCTATTAGACGGAATCCTCCTTATAAAGGAAAATGTCAATAATTTTCTATTAATCTTTCAATAGTTTTTCTACCTCCCTATAACGAAAAACTCTTTATAACGGAAAAAAATTGAGTCCCAAGCGGTTCCGTTATAGGGAGGTTTTACTGTATTATCAAAAGAACATAATATTATACATAAAGTAATAGAATAAAACAGAAAACTATTAAAAGTAGCTGTGTACAAAAATAAAAAAAAAATTATAATACTGTTTTTCATTGATATTTTAAAATAATTATAACATTATAATTATAAATAATATATAATAATATAAATTATATAAAGTAAAATAAAATTATACTGATGTTTCTTTCTTAAACATAATATAATATTTTATTATATAATACTGAAGAATATAATAGAATAATAACATAATTTACACGACATATTATATATTGATAATAATAATCATTTAGTAATAATAACATAAAATAATACCTAGTTAAATAAACCATGGATAAATTTTATTGTGAATCTTGTTGAGGATTTTTAGCTGATAATTTTTTGATTCTATTGGAAGCTTGTGCCAACCAATTTTTTAATGGTTTTTCTATTTCAATGTTAGGGAGATTTTGTGAAGAAAATGGTTTCATTTGGCGAATAGTTTCTAAACAAACAAAAAACAAATCATTTGTTATTTTTCATTGACCATATATCTATATTTATTAATCCATTTACAGGCTTAAATACCTATACTATCAACCAATAAGTATTTGAGACGTTTAAATACTAGGTACCTATATATTAATGTATATTGAATACATTTTTTCTACTTTTAAACATATTATATACTTTACATAACATATATTATATATATACTAAACATATTTCGTATTTTTGTTAAATTTAACGACAACTACTAAAATCTTATCTTTATAATAATATATTATATGCTGCTGATAATATGAGTGATAGGTACTAATCTTGAAGAAACATTTATATGATTGAATTGATACATAATAGTTTTAATTAATGTTAAATAATAAAACTTTAATTTCTGAAATGTGATCATTTTGGTTATTGTTTTAAATTTAAATATACTTGTAATTATAGTTAATAATTATAAATATTAAATATTGTTAGTTAAGAAATAATAAGGTATAAAAACAATTTATTATTGTTTAAACAACCTATATGTACATATATTTACCTTCTATATTATACTAAATATTAATTTTATCTCAACTTTGCAAATAATTTGAATTTAGTTGTCAATACCCTCAAAGCTTAACTAATATTTATAAATAGCAAAAGTTTTATAAAAAATATATGTACTATTAATAATTTTGTACCTATTGACAACTAAAAATTTTAAAATTTGACAAAATATAGTTTTTAAGTTATTTTTACAATACTGGTGATAATAGTATTTATATGATGTTTATAAGTTATAAGTTTATAACATTTAATATGAATCGGTTTGATAATCATTTTAATAAGTAATTGGAAATTTTTACTATTGATTCCCCAAAGTAAAAACTTCTAATTTGTTAACAAAAACCTCCATCAAAATCAAAGATTCGAGCCTTTTTTTTTCTACTTAAAACTTGTGTTATGAAGTTTTATATAAATTTCAATGATTTTAATCATTGCACTGAAAAAATCTAAAAAGTGATAATAATGAGTATTAAGTAATTTGCTTAAATAGTGAGCTACAATACAAATAGTGAGAAAGGCAAGTGAGTGAAAAGTCTGTATTTCTATTAAGACATGAGCGGAAAAGTTCATTACCAAAATTGTATAAATAAAAAATTGGTTAACTTTTATAAATTACTAATAATAACTATGTAGATAGTTATTACGTATGGAGTATTAAATTGATTAAAATTGCATTAAAAATATTTACCAATATTTATGTGGTATTCCAAGTTGGCGTTGAACAGGAAGCAGCCTTTGTAGAGTTGAAACGCCGTCTTACAGAAGCCCCTGTGTTGCGAATCTACAGTCCGGAAGCTGAAGCGACAGAGTTACACACTGACGCAAGTCAATGGGGATTTGGGGCGGTGCTACTGCAGAAGGATAGCAATGATGGTAAGTTGCATCCAGTGTGCTACATGAGTAGAAAAACCACTGAGGCACAGCGTAACTACCATAGTTATGAACTAGAGGTACTGGCGATCGTAGAAGCGTTGAAAAAGTTTAGAGTGTATTTATTGGGTATACACTTCAAAATCGTGACAGATTGCGCTGCGTTTACAAAAACCTTGGAGAAAAAAGATTTAGCAACCAGAGTGGCCAGGTGGGCACTGCTGGTCTCAGAGTACGATTATACCATAGAACACAGGTCCGGCTCAAGGATGCCCCATGTGGATTCCTTGAGTCGTTACCCAGTGTGCATGTCCATCCAGAGAAGTGAGTTCCTGTTACGGTTGGTAGCCGCACAACAAGGCGACCCTGATATTCGGACTATCATGAATGCACCAGTGGCTGGGAAATATGTAATCAAGAGTGGCATTCTACACGAAGTATGTGATGGTAACGACTTACCAGTGATTCCCAGGAACATGCAGACTGAGGTTATTAGGAATGCCCATAACGTAGGCCATTTTGGAGTCACCAAAACTGAAATGTTAGTACGTCGTGAATACTCAATTGTTGGGTTAAAGGGGAAAATTGAATCTGTAATTAGAAATTGTGTCGCGTGTATCTTAATGAATAGAAAGCAAGGCAGGCAGGAAGGTTTCCTTCACCCTATTGATAAGGGAGATGCACCGCTGATGACCTGGCACCTTGATTTTTTAGGACCAATGGAGGCAACGTCAAAAGGGTATAAGCATATATTGGCTGTAATAGATGGGTTATCAAAATTTTGCTGGCTATTCCCTACAAAGAGCACTGCAGCGTCGGAGGTTATTGATCGTTTGTCACAGTTGGAGGTGACATTTGGTAATCCTGAACGTATTGTGTCTGATCGTGGAACAGCGTTCACATCAAACAATTTCGAGCAGTATTGCAAAGACCGGAATATTAGACATATATTAATTACCACAGGCATGCCCCGTGGAAACGGACAGGTTGAACGACTCAATGCTATAATTATTAATGTGTTGGCCAAGATGTGTATCGACCAACCAGGAAAGTGGTATCGACAAGTGGGAAAAGTGCAGATGGCAATAAACGGATCAGTGCAGAGGTCTATAGGCATGACTCCATTCAAGCTAACTTTTGGTGTGGAGATGCGTCATGCTGACTTTGCGTCACTAAGGGAAGCTATAGAGGAAGAGTACATACATTGGTATGAAAGTCAACGAGAAGAGGACCGTCAGCGAGCCAAGGATCAAATTGCCAAGGCCCAAGAAGAGCAACGCAAGACCTTCAACAAACGTAGGAAGGAATCTGAGTCATATTGTATAGGTGATTTGGTAGCTATCCGTAGAACACAGTTCCTACCAATGTCTAAGCTTGCAAGAAAATATCTGGGACCCTATCGTATCGTCGGCAGAAGGGGCCCAAATCGTTTTGAAGTGTGGAGAGTAGGCGACGGTGAAGGACCAAACAAGACATCCACTGGTACTGACTTCATGAAGCCCTGGTGTCCAACAATCAATCATGAGGAAGAAGATGCAGCCGAGGCGGATGCTGTTCAGTCTGGGGAAGATGTGGGGTTGAGTTGCCCACTAGAGAGAGGGTCGGTTCCTGATACAGCTAAGGTGGTGGGGAAGAGCTAGTCATCAGTGTTGCTTAGACGTTAGACGTGTGTCCTTGTTCGTTGTCGTTGTAATTGTAATTTAAATTGTTCATGTGTCGTTCAATAAAAGAGTTTGGTGCGTTACGTTTCTGTTGTTAATTTATCCAGTATACATTTTGGTGACCCAATCCCACATACATTATTTACATTTATATAATCATATACAATACACATACTCAAAATTTTATATATATTATGTATATAGGGGAAAATTGGGGAAAAACAGGTTAATAAATTTAATGAATTTAAATTTTCATATTTATAATTTATATATACTATGTATAATTATAGATTTAGGAAAATGTGAATTAACTTTTTGGTCAGTAAATATTTGAAATTTTAGTTTTATTTAATAATAATACTAATTTATATTTCATTATCATATAACAAAAAAAACAATACATATACAAATTAATTTTACATATGATAAAAACCTCTCCAAAAAGCAGAGCTTTTGCTTGAAGTAGGTGGGTTCATCTCAATGAAAAACTAAATTAGTGTTGTAAAATATTCCAATATGAATTGCAATTAGTTATTTTTATGTTAACTTTTATCAATTTTAATTTGTTTCCTGACATATGTAGTTGTTTTTGCGAAATAAACAATAGTTTGGTATTGAGGCGGTTTAATATGTAATCTAAATTGAAAATTGTCAAGTTAATAATTTTTATCAAAAAATACATATGTATTAAACTATTTAACCTAATATTATATTATATAAAAATTGATAAAAAACATACTTAGTATTCCATCGGTCAAAAATCTGATATTGATGTATTGGAGAATATTTTTAGAAAGAAAATTTTTAGTTTAAAAGTAATAACTCTCTTCATAATTAAAACATAAATAAAAACTTTTAAGATGCCTTATATAATTATCTTACCTTTAAATTTTATAGTAAATCAATTCACTCAAATTTTAAAAATAACAGATTAAAATGTATTATTGTGAACATATAATTTGCTTTGTAAGACTGAGACATTACATGTGGGTGTGGCATCTTTTTAAAGAATAAGAATTTGTATCTTAAATTATAGATTGTTATAAGAAAGTTAAAAGTTTTTACTGTTTCAAGAAATCAATTCGGAAAAAATTACTTTTACAATGAAAAACTATTCAAAAAGTAAAATTAAAACAAGGAACAAATATTTTGTGTGCACTTAAAAATAAAAAATCTTTCAGTCAATGTATATTGTAAATGTATAATGTTTATAAAAATATTGTAATATAGTAGGTATATACATTTTCATTTTTAGGGAAATGATATTGGAGAATCAAAAAGAAATTCCAACAATGAACTGACCATCATGAAACACACTTCATTGCATCGAGAACTTGCTGCTTACACAGAACTAATGCATTGGTGTAAAGCAATGGATCGAAAATCTTTTATGGCTCTTAATAAAGTGTATACATCGTCTTTATCTAAACTTTATGAAAGAGATATAAAATTGTTTTAGAAGATGCAAAATTGCGTATAAATGCTGGTAATCTATAATTTAATTAACATTTGATGAAAAATTAGTTACCTTCATTTATTATTTATTATTCAATAATTTGATTGATTTATATTTTTTGACTTTAATTTAATTTTTGTATTACTTATTATTTAGTATATTTTACACTTAAAGTAAGTATTAACTTTAAGTATAATTTAAAAAATAAATTAAATAGTTATTTTATGTCGGTTTAAAAACTTATAAATATGATAATCTTACACCCAATTAATGAATTATATAACTGTTTTGATGTTAGGCCATTTATCTAATTCAAAAGAAGATATAAGAAAGTCAACTGGTCCACCGTCAGATTGGTTATTAGGTGTAGACAAAGAATTTTGGGCTCAAGAAAGTAATGCTCAAGAACGACAAAGATTTGACCAAGTATTGGAAGCAGTTCTTTCTGAACTTGAACCAATTTGTTTATCCGAACAAAATTTTTGTGTTTCATTTTTCCAATTGGATATACTCAGCCCTACTACCAAAGTATATAATTTACAACACAGTTACTTATTAAATTTTAGTAAATATTAAATAATGATTATTAACTATTAATAATAATTATAATGCATGTATTAGGATTTTTGTTCAAATTTAAGTTTAGTCCAGCACTGTTTGTCTTCCGGACAAATTGACAAGACTAAACATTTTAGGTTTTCTTTAGAATTATTTATACTCTGTTCAAAATAAGAACAGACCTCGGCGGCTACCAGTTTTTGTCGGCTATAGTCAGGTAACACCTGTTTGTTATACCTCCCAAGTCACCAATCTATATACCTGCTGTATAGTATTGCCACGCTCCTGCTCACATGCCGGCCACCAAGGTCTGTTCTTATTTTGGACAAAGTATAGTAGCATGGTGAACATGGTTTAATTTAAGCCTAGGTGTCATGATAGAATTTTTTTTGTATGGGTGTTAGGTAGTTACTAGTTGGATAACTAGTAACTATTGGATAACTAGTAACTATTGGATAACATAAAACAAAAAACATATTTACAGTCACATGATAGGTATATCTATTATACTAAGGGAATTAGTGGGTAGGTACTGAAATATAATATGATCTGCATTATGGTTTATAAATGTTCACCACGGAATCATCTTTCATACTATCGATAAATAAAACATTATTTAATTTATAAACATATTTTATAAAATATAATGTACATTTACATTTTAAATATTATTCTATAATTATAATATTATAATTTTTGAATATACCTAGAATACCCAAACAACCTTGGATGAAGTAGATGTAAAATCAAACCAAGAAATATTACCATCTTTACCAAAGACTAAAATTGAAAAAAAAATAAATGAAGAAGTTAGAAAAATGATGGGTGACATTTTTGCTTGTATAGAACCAGAGTTGATTGGATTTATTCAATATCATGAAAGAATGGATAGCACGTAACTATGATTATAAATCTTTTTTATTTTAATTTTTTATATATATACTATATTATTTTAGTTATTCAATGGCTGTGTTAGTAAGACTGGGCCGTCATGTTATGTCTGCTAATGATACCGGCTCCTTTTTAAGTATGACTTATGGGTCTGCATTAGTTCATGTAAAAAGAAATTATGATAAACTCATGCACGCTCACTTAAAATCAATTCAAGAAGTAAGGATTGTTAAAAAGTCTAAATGTGGCATACTTCCTTTTGTTGCCAACTTTGAGGTAACTACAATATTGTTTGTAATTTTTGTTGTTAATTTGACATAATTTTAAAGCTGTCATATAATTTTTTTTTATTGTTTACTATTAATTTTTGTAGTATTTTGCCAAGACAGCTGAACAAATATTTAAAGAAACAGAGCGTCGAACTGATTTAGATAAATGGTATCTTAAACTCTTAACTGTAATGTTTGAAACTATTCATTCAATTGCCAGTGAACATCCTAAGACTCCCGCCGAAGTTATCAGAATGGGTAAGAACCATAAATAGTTTTAAATTTAAACTAAATTAATACTAATAGTTCATTCATGGATTTAGAGAACTTTCACCATTTATATGCATTGCTGTCTCAATTAAAAATTGGTATATTAGATCAATTCAGAAAAGATGCGAAACAAAAGTATAGTGAGGCATTAAGTGCTTATGTAACACGTTATTTTGGTAGACCGCTCGAAAAACTGAATGTGAGTACTGACTTTAATTAATTTATACTATGAAAAGTTTATTTTGTTTTACATCTTACATACTTCTTCATTTTTAACATTTTGTTTAATGTTTAGTTATTCTTTGAGGGTGTTGAAGCTAAGGTTTCACAAGGTATAAAAGAATCAGAAGTTGGTTATCAAGTGGCTTTCAGTAAACAAGAATTAAGGAAAGTAACTAAAGAGTATCATGGACGAGAGGTGAAAAAAGGCTTAGATCATTTATATAAAAAAGTAGAAAAACACCTTAGTGAAGAAGAAAATTTACTACAAGTAATTATTATTAATTGTTAATTATGTAATTATATAATTATGTGTTATTCATCATAAACCATTGATTATTTTTGAACCCACAATATTATTTTATTATTTGCATTAACTATATTTTGTATTGATTAATATACCCAAGTCTAAACAATTTTGTTTTGGATTCTGAGCGGAGCAATGATTTTACAATGATGTATTCTTTTAAATTTTTTTATTGTTTGTGTGTGTACACTATAAGTAGTTGAAATAATGCTTTGATTTTCAACTTCAGTATCTTGTTTGATGGAAAAGTGAATCTAGTTGGTGCATTGCATCAAGGATGTCAAAATTTTAAATTACCAGTATTTTTCAAAAACGCCAGGAAAAACAAAAAAAAAAAAAAATAAGAAAAAACGTATATTTTTACGGTAAATCGGTTTTTGACAAAATTGATTTTGGTTTTTGGTGTAACTCGAAAACAAATGAGCATAAATACATAGAATTTTGACTGAATATTTATTTTGACATTTTCTTTACACCATAAAACTTTCAATATATTTTGATTTGTTTTGAGCTGTTTACGGCCATTTTCAATTTTCAATTTTCAATTTTTTGTTTTATTTTCTATAATAGTCAATACGATTTTATTTGTTGAGTCAAAAAGTATGAAAATTTAATTCAAGGTTCCTGATATATTAGTTACTTTAGCAGTTGAAAATATTAAAAATTCATACACACATTTTTTTTTCACAAGCATTGAAAGTTTGAATTTTGTCAAAATTAAAAAATTATGTTGTAGTTAAAAATTTACAAAATATTCAACTTTTATAGCTAAGGATTGAAAATTTATAATAAGGTTCCACGTAAATAGGTAAATAAATTACTCAATTTACAATAATATCATCAAATATACTTAGTAATATCAATGGCTGACTGACTGTCTTCGCTCAGAATCATTTTTCATATACAATGATATTATATCATTGAATTCAAATTTAACACCATCCATTACAGTGATCCACTGTACAGCAGAACGGCACACACTTGCCTACCTTTTTTACCTTTATAATAAAATAAATGTAATTTAATCTATATTATAATTTTAAATTTTTTTCAGGTGGTTTGGAGAGCTATGCAAGAAGAATTCATTCAACAATATAAATATATTGAGGACTTAATTCAAAGGTGCTATCCTGGTTCCATGATTTCATTAGAATTTTCCATTGAAGATCTATTACAGTATTTCTCAGAAATTGCTAGATCCCATTAGAATATTTAAATATTATAATCAAAAATATAATATAACATAACATGTTTAAACTTTAAATTGATAATCTATTGTATTATCATTTTATCTATTTTAATTTTAACTTATTTATAAATAACATTATTTTGAGAAAACATTTTAATTTTGTTAAAAGTTATGTTCCCAAACCTTTCTAATATACTTTATCCCTTTTTATATTATACAATGTAAATTGTAATTATGTTTAACGTTTTGAAAATTATATATTTCTGAGCATAAAATACTGTATGTATTAAGTGTTATAAATATTTTTATAATAAAAAAGTCATGAGTACTCAACATGTTTTTGAAGGGATAATATGTAGCTAAAAAAATATCATTGGTTGTTGATAAACCAATGTGTGTACAATAAGTAAATTTAATAATACGAGGTGGTGAATGAAGAACAAATGAGTAGGCATTTCACATTAGAAATGCCTGATATTTTTTTTCACTTTTAAAAATATTTTTATAATTTCTTATAAGTATAACAATGTATTTATTTTAGGTTGGCTGCGTAGTGTGTATGCTTATACCTATATTGTATTATGTTCAATAAAATTATAAAAACTGATTATCAATGAGAATAATTAGTGATCATTTAATATTTATGTTTCTCGTGGTATTCACAGTAGCCACTAATCCGGATGGTGCAACGTGGTGGGGCTTAGGGGACGGTTAGTCCCCTGAGTATGATTTAGCCAGCCCAAAATTATCAATTATTGGTTTAGATATAAGCCCTATGGGTATTTTTAATTAACAGTTTTGTTAGGTGGGAAGTAGCCCCCCCCAGAATTTGAACCCTACTACCCTAGTGTGGTAGCTTGTATATCTACTAATTTATTGTTAGGTACCTACGTATGAATAAAGTAGACTAGTTGACTCATGCTAGCAAGTATATAATTCTTAGTAATGAAACTGCATTTACATTGCAGACCACAATCATTTCTGTAAAACAACAAACGATTTATCAATAGACCGTTTATGTGCTGAGTGTAGAAGTTCTATGAATTTATCATATTAAAAAATATATTTTATATCATCTATGGCAATCGCCAATTGTCGACATTCGTCTGCGACGATTAACAATTCTAATAATTTTAGTGAAAAAAAAAATAATAAGCCATCAATATGGACATATAGTTCGTTAAGCCGTATATATTATTATGTAAGTTTTAACACGAATTCGCACATTTCGTTATGTTCAGGTAATTTTCATAAAATATTTCGATAATTTCAAGTTACAGTTCGGAACGAGATGAAGGTAGCTGTTTCTTCGGTGGCGTCACGTACTGGACGTTTGCATTGTTGATGATGCACTCTAGCTAGGTTTCACCGGGAGAGTCGATGTTTCAGCGTAAGTTTGTTTTCATAATTTCATATTATTTTGGGATTTACGTTTTATTTTTAGGCATTTTTATAATTAAAAACATAATATAACGTAATGTTGTAGACTGTAGAAGAAGCTAGAAACTGTAGTACCTATATTCTAATTAATAATCCAATTAATGTAATTTTTTGAATTTTTTAAATTTTAATGTAACATGTATTATGCCTACACAAAACACTTACCTACCAAAATTGAATTTTTCACAAAATTTGTTGTTTTAACGATAAATGACAATTTTAGTTCCCTATTATGGTGAAAGTATTTGATACAAACAAAAAATTAATGTTCGAAAACACAATTTCCTATATTATTATTTACTAAATACAAAGAAACTTAAAAATAAAACTATGATCATTGATTACATACAGAGTACCTATAATATATTATGCATGGAACACGAAGGTTTATTTTGACTATACCTACTTATGGTGTACGCATCAAACACAAAATAGAAATACCTAATAACAAACAAATTAAAAATTAAATACACATCATAGTAAAATCAAAATATTCATCGCTACGTTCAGAATCTAAAATATAAATTATAGGTACCCGACACAATTAAATTAACATAATATTAAATAATAATTAATAATTTTGTGATCAGCAGTATTCGTAGAAAATGTTAGACTTGGAATTTTACAAATCTAGTTGGTATTATGGTAGGTACTGTAAATTGAATGTACTTGGGTAGGTACTGTATATCTTCATATTAACTCTAAAATCCAGGAATCACATTTTCATTTAATGATTTTTAAAATACAATATTATGCTTTTATAAAAATATGCTTGTACTTCTGATATATATTCACCATATTAATAAATAATTAAATTAAGAAACGAAAATAATAATTAAAATAATATTTATATCATATTTAATATTATTATAATTGAAATTCAAAATTATAAACTATTTTGATTATTGTCATATAAAATTCGATGAACAAATATTGTTCCTTAATACGGAACTCTTTGATATATAAAAAAATTCATTATATTATATCCGTGGATTCACCATATTGACGTACCTTCTATAATATCTATCATTTATAGTATATTATCTATGGCAAATCTCAAAATCGTTTCAGAAGACACAGTCGATTAAAATTTCTAAAATTTCAATAAGTAAAGCAGATATGAGTAAAAAATTTACCGAGTTCCGTTTAATTTTATTTTTCATAAATCACAATATTTTAATAGTTGTGTATTCTGGTGCGTTTCCTCGTCGGCCTCGCAGCTAGTGAACGTCACGGATTCCACCGAAAGAGTCGATGTTTCACCGTATGTTTGTTTTCATATTATTTTGGGATTTACGTTTACTTTTTTGACTTAAAATAAATATTTATTGCCAAGGACAATCTGTTGACTGAGTGGCGTAGAAGCATAAATGTTTACTCCCCAAATCGAAATGTATATTATTATAATATCCTCGAGTCCCGCGAACAGTCCTAAGCCAAGCTTATTAGTTATTACATACCTTATTTTTGCATATTGTACTACATATAATCCGGGAAACACCTTAGGTTTGCTCGAAGTATTTAAAACAATGTTATATTATTAAACATTATATTTTATATACATTATACATTTATACACCTCATATATTTTATTTGTTTATTTACAATTTACACGTATTTTAGTGTCGTTATTATACCCTATAGGTAATAAATATTTTGCAATTATATATTTTACTATAATTATTATTCTTGATCCCTAGTTATATAATATGATAATATACACTTTAAATTTGAATAATATTAATTTTTTGTTGTCAAGATTCACAGTATTACGTACATAAGTCCTAGGTACTCTTTTTTGGACGTTTTCAAAACGGATTATGATTAAAAAAGTTACACAGTTGACGTACCATTTGCTAGATGAACCCGTATGACATAAATTAGGAATTACTTATGTTTTTTTATTAGTTTTTTCCTAAAACATATGCAATATAAATATATAATATACTTATAATCTTTATACATTTTATATAGCTCATACAATTAATAAATATTCATAGTTCATTCATATGTAAATGTATATAGTATATACTTCATAAATATTTTACGATTTAAAACGTGTAATTAATTTGATTATGCAATCATGTATCAGTTTGTGATATGTGATATGTGTAGGGTCGCCGGAGCAAGGGGAAATGCATTTTAAAAATTAAAAACATAATATAACGTAGGTAATGTTGTAGTAGAAGCTGGAAACTGTAGTAGGGGAGAGTGGGGCAGATTTGAATGCGGGGTACATTTGAATTTGTCTAATATAATTTGTTACAGATTATTTACATTCATAAAAATAATAATCTAAGTTGGTGACAATATTTTGTATACCATATGTGATAATCAGGCATTTTTGAATAATTTTGTGATAAATAAAAATGATAATGTGATTTTCCGGCTTTTTTAAAAAAAAAATAGGTGTTTCCATAAGAACATTTTGAAAACTAAAATTCAAAATAATAAGTTTAGAATTAAATATACCTATTCAAAATATTGTTGCCTAGTAATACATTTAATGTACATACATTATTTATAATTATTAAAATTTATATTACGATTATTATTGATTATTTTGGCATGGGGTAGATTTGAATCTTCATTAATAGGGTGTAATAAAGTTTCCTCCTTTTTGAAATATCTATCTTATGGATGGAATATACTAGTTAACTGGATTTATGTCACAAGATGTGGATTTATCTATAAGAAAACTCAAAAATACTACATTTTCACAATAAAAAAAAAATTGACAAGAAAACATCTAAACATAATTGTAAAAAATTGTTATTATATTATATTAAGCTATTTTTATTATTAAAATAAATAAAAAGTTTAATTTAATTTAATATTTAACATTCAAATGTGGCTTTTAAGAGTATTAAGACACATATTCAAATCTACCCCCTGCACGTTCAAATGTACCCCATGGGTGGGGTACATTTGAATAAAAATATACTTCACTTCATAATTAGAAATTAAATTGGTTATTTAATATATAAGGTTGTTATAAGTCAAATAGTATTCACAACTATCTAGACTACAGATTGTAATTATCAAATATAAAATTTGTCAAAAAATTAAAAATTAAAATAATAAAATGTAAATTTCATTCAAATCTGCCCCACTCTCCCCTACCTATATTCTAATTTATAATCCAATCAATTTAATAACTATTAAATGCATCATTGAATGATTATTCAGAGGTCAGTTGGGGATAAATGCCAAAAGTATAAATGCAATTCGGAATAATTAAAAAAATAATTTGTGAAAGGAACACGATTACTGCTATTATAAAAGTCTTTATTATTATTCACAAAAAATTACTAATAGTGGATATTTAAATTTTAATAGATTTGAACTATTAACATAAATTGTAAATAGTTTTTGATCGATTAATTATTATATTATGTAAGTACCTACTATAAAATGATTATTTTTGAAAAACAATTAAATGCAGGGATTCCCATGAATTGATCTTACAGTAGCCTAAAAATATCAGAAATACATTTATTATGCCTACACAAAACACTTACCTACACCTACCAAAATTGAATTTTTCACAAAATTTGTTATTTTAACGATAAATGACA